CACCTAAGCTGTTTGGAAAAACTTTGTTACTTTATCTACTGATAAAATAAATAGTCTCATATAATTTTTTTACTTAATTTAAACAAATATTTTAGAATAGACAAAGACCTTAATCCATATAGGGCTCGAGGTGATTGGCCGATTTTTAGGGGAAACTTCATGAAAACAAAACCCGGTGAATCTTTGTGGCGGTGGCAGTTCTGATAACAACCGCCGACATATGCGACTGGAGCGAGCAGTGGGACATGGGGACATAGGTGGGTAGTTGGGTAGAAATTAAAATTAAAAAAATATATTAATCAGAAAAAGTTAATCCTATTTTAGATAAATAAAAACTAATCTTATTTTTATCTTTTAAAGATGTAGAAGTACTATGTTTATAATCTATCCTAGAATAAAACAACAAAGGACTTAAATTGGTAAAGAAAGAATAGAAAGTCTAGGACCAAAGGGTCCAAAGCTAAGGACTAAATTAAGTCACGCCGTTCCTTTCTACAATTCTACATTTCTACGTACATGTAAAAGCGAATTGGTTCCGAATAGGTGTATGATGTTAATATATTTACAAAAATGAATCAAAAGCTCAACAACGGTCCCATGGTCTAGCGGTTAGGACATTGGACTCTGAATCCAGTAACCCGAGTTCAATTCTCGGTGGGACCTTTGTTATTTTTACTCTAATTTGGCATTACTCATTATGCCTACTCAACGACTTCTTCAAAGCAGTTTTTAGTTCCCAATCTCTTATTTTTCCCTTGCTTTTAACATTGTGTTTGTCAACGACTGCTTTTAACTCATTGTGTTTGTACTTGTTTTTAGTTCCCAATCTCTTATTTTTAGTTCCCTTGTTTTAGGACATTGGACTTTGAATCCAGTAACCCGAGTTCAATTCTCGGTGGGACCTTTGTTTTTCTTTTTTGACTCCAATTTGGCATAACTCGTTAGGGCTGCACATCGGGCGGGTTGGGTCGGGTTTGCTATATTTTTTGGGCCTACCCGACTTGTTCGGGTTGGCTATTAACCAATCCGTGGTACGCAAAATAAGTTGATAAGCCATGCATTAACGGGTCGGGTAGGGTCGGGTATTGGGGAAAAAAATTACTCGGGTTGCATCTTTCATGTGGGAAATTAATGCAACTAATTTAAAACTCAATTAACTTGTTTTCAAAACACACAAACAAATACAAATACTCGTATCTTTTATAAGCAAAAACATTAGGTAATAGTGTAATAGTATTAAAACATCCTTCCGTAAAGGAAGTTCATTAAGAAGGAAACTTAAATACTCCGTATATAATAATCACCTAGTCAAAATGATAAATGTTTTATTATAATTCCAATATCATAAAGTCCTAGATAGAGCACATTGATTTTAATTAAATTGAAATTATTCAAGAAAACATTGTAGCATAATTATAGTAAAATGAACTTCGGCCGGGTCGGGTACTATCCGCAACCCTACCCATTAGGTACGAGTTCAAACATATTTAACTCATGAATATTTTTAAAAATCAAATACCGGATTAAATAGGGTCGGGTAGGGTTGGGTCGGGCGGGTTATGCGGGTTCGGGTTATTCTTGTGCAGTCCTATAACTCGTTATGCCTACTCAACGACTTCTTCAAAGCAGTTTTGTACTGTGTTTTTAATTCCCAATCTCTTATTTTTCCCTTGCTTTTAACATGATTACCAAAGATTGATCTCAATCAAATCTTATCCCTATTAGTTTCTGGTAGTTATGTTAAAAGCAAAGATTGATCTCAATCAAATTTTATCTCTATTAGTTGTCAGCATTTCAGGAAGAAACATTGAAGAATTATAATTTATATAATATAAGAGCACAAATTCATTTCAAACAACAACAATCATCAATACAGAGAGATTGTCTTAGAGGCATCTCTGATCAAGCCAATTCAAGATATCAGTTCGGACGATCTGGACATTTTCATCTGTTTCCCCGAACAACAAAGAATGCATCATCCCCTCATAAATCTTGATGCTTTTGTCCTTGCTTCTTGCCATCTCATACAATTCCCTGCTCACTTCCAGATCCGTTACCACATCGGCTTTCCCATGTAACACAATGAACGGAAAAGAAACATCGCATAATTTGCTGCTAACATAATCAGTAACCCTCAACAGCTCCAGCACTGTTCCCAACCTCGGTCTCCCTCTATACCTGTTAAGAGAGAGTGTTTCTTATAGAAGATTATAAAGGCAACCAAATTGATTCGATTTAGTCTTTTAGTAACTCGGAGGCACCTGCTATGATGAGAAGTACAAGTACTTAATTACATATGCAAGTAGACAACTTTGAATTAAGTTAATTTCCATTAAAAAAACTTTCAACTTTGGTTCCTTGAATATAACATGGAGAAAATATATTGAGCACACCAACATGGTCATTAGACAACACGTTGGCGTGATGAATGGTCAATATTCATTCATCTAAAATTTGTATAGAATCTTGGGCACTCATCAAGCCAACGTGCTCCATATATTTTCTCATATAACAAGATAATATCCATTTTTGAACCATGTCTTTCATTATTTTCGCCTTTTGTTGCGCGACAACGGATTTTTGCCGCTTTTGGTCATTCTTGTTGACTAATCCGATGAAAATCGATAAAAACTTCTACGCAAACTGATGGGATAAATGGCTGAAGAGACGATAAGCGACAAAAAATCTATAATAGGACCAATGTGGGATTGCCAAGACAGTCGCTAGTCGTAGGAGTAAAAGTTGAATATTTTATTTTCCACATAGCAAGCAAACTTTGATGGCAGGTAAAGGGAGTTGATGCTAAAGTGGTTCCCTTGATCAAAAGGCCGCTATCTATGCAAAGATCAGGCCATGTTTGGTTGCATACTTGCATTGATTAGTTTAGCACGCTTATTCTGCCTATTAACTCCCTATTTGGTTGAAGATTACTTTACCTACTGCAATGGATATTCAGCTAAAAACACATACCAAACAGACCCTTATATGATCAGATTGACTGACTTCTGCCTAGTTAGGAAGAAAGTAAAAGAGTCTACCTGTGCGGATTCATCCGGGCAATGATTTTCTTCTCCGGGACTTTAACAGACTTGTCAAGCAAATCAGCAGTAGGCACCATTGGAAGAGTGGGTGCAAAAATGGAAAGGGCAGTCAAGATTTGAGGGATGGGCCAAGAAGGTCTGACCTTTTCAGAGATTCTACACATGGGAGCTATTAAGATGGCGCCATTACTGAACCGGCCAGGGTTCTTGAGGTGGATCAGAAGACAAATGGCTCCTCCCATGGATTCACCGAACAGGAATTGGGGAAGGTCCTGGAACTGGGGGTTCTGGAGGGTGATGGAATTGAAGAATGAGAGGCAGTCCTCTATCACAAGATCCAGATTGGGTACATAGCCCTTGAGGCCCTGGGACTGGCCATGGCCTTCCAGATCAAGGGCAAAGCAAGCATACCCATTCTGGGCTAGGAAGATTGGGGTTGCTTGAAATGTCCAGCTGATGTCATTCCCGTACCCATGGACCATGAAGATGACGCCACGTGGCGATCGGTTGCAGGTCTCTGTGGGTAGCCATGATCTGGTGAAGAGGGTCAAGCCTCTAGGGGAGTGGAAGAAAGACTTGGACGAATGGATGCCTTGAAGAGCATAATAGTCTTCCTCTGGGATGCTTCCCCAATAATATGGTTGTTGTTGGGTTTCCATTGCGGGTTTCTCCCCGCCGAGAAGATATATACTCCGTATGACAGTAGGCTGGATTTTAGAGATAGACTTAACTTCTTGCATTAGAGATGGAGCCCGTTTGATAATTAGCCAATTCTGATTCCAACTGAAATTTAGGAACGGTAACTTCAGTTGATACAATCAAAAAAGTAATTACAATCTTATTTTTTATTATTATTAAACTATTCGGCGCGAAATCCGAAATTACATTTTTTATGAAAAAAATGTTTGATAAGTCAAAAACAGAGTCACAAAACAGTTGCATAGTCTTAAAGAGTGTTTGGGTCTAAAATTGTAAAAGAAGAAGAGATAACTGTAATGTTGGAAGAAAAGAAATACAACAGTGATGAATACTAAATACATCCACTAATTAAGTATTGATCATGGACGAGTGGACGACATTGCTAGTGAATCTAGTGATGCCCATTCATGAGAATAAAGACAAAATATTAAATAGACTTAAATAGAAGTGTGTTATTTATTTCCGCAAAATAAAACTAAACATTATCTTTCTATTTTACCCGTGATTTAATAGGATTATCATATTTTAATTTATAATAAAAAAACTTAAATATTTTAACTTATACTAAGAATCGTAAAAAATAGAAATGAAATATGAATTTATTAAAACAAATTAAATAAAGTCATATAAATATGAAATTTTAATATAAATTTTTATATAAATAAAGTCATGTTATTACTTTTATGTTTTAATTACTAATGAAATATGAATTTATTAAAACCAAGCAAGAGTATAATTGAAAAGTTAATCTTATTTAGAAATTTTAAAATTGTAGTCCTATTTGTTAAACTATAGTTTCAATTAGTCCTATTTGGAAATATTCCCGTGAGAATAAAAGACTTAATTATCAGCATGATTACTGATTAGTTTTAGGAAACTGTTTTGAAAAGAGAGTAAAAGGAATGTGAAATTATAAAATACGGGTATGAGTATCATATTTTCCTCTTAAATAGAAAAAGTCACTATTAGTGTGAAATCGTATTGTCTTAGTTGATATTATCAGATATTAATTTAATAATATTAATGTTATAATTGAAAATATTTTTCATGCATTAAAACATTTTGTCTACGTTTTAGGATTAAAGTAAAAAAATTGCGATAATGACTGAGCTCCATTTGGAATTTAATGTACCTCCCGCGAATATAAGTTACCATCTAAGAAAATTGGCACCTAAGCACCTTGAGGGATGTGCCAATCAAAAAGTAATTCCAACAAGTATATTTATAGGGTAGCCGGAACTTGCATAAGTCAAGAAGCAATTCATTAATTACACTAGCTAGTTTTATCTCTCAAGAACTGGATGGATATTTCAATAAAAGTGATGCTTTCTTTTTCTCTAATCCTGGTTTCCTTGCTGCGGCATCTTGAGCCATCAATTGCCCAAACCTATTCCCAACAAGATGCATCAGATGATCTTGTGACTGATAAACTTCCTGGCCAGCCTGCGGAAGTTGGCTTCAAACATTACGCTGGGTATGTGACAGTCAACAAGACTAATGGAAGATCACTCTTCTACTGGTTTTTTGAATCTTCCACATCTCCTCAACAGAAACCTCTACTTCTTTGGCTTAATGGAGGTAAGACTTTATTCATATGTATATGTATATATATGCTGTATACCGGTGGGCGCAGCTCAACTAATAGTGAGGGAATGCCACAAGGATTAGGTCCCAGGTTCGACTCCCGGCAACTGCGATGAGAGTTTACTCAATAGAGGGCCTCTGCAAGTACCAGGGATGGAGCCCCACTCTCTATTTGTCAGATTGTGATTATAGTACAATTTACATCCTCCCATCGTGCCGTCCGGTCGGTGTTGGGAGCCCTCAGAGATGGGGTGTCATCCTTTTGTATATATATGTTGTATGATCCATGCTAGAGTGGGGGAGAAGTTGGAGGTAAGATAGACTTTATTCATACCTAGTACTTTTCTTAATCTTCAATTTGGACCCTAATACACCACGAAACATCTGGCTCCATACATGAAAGAATCTACACATATTTTCATGTGTAATGTGTGTAAGTAATTAACTAATTAAAACTATCGACATTACCCTAAATAAGACTAAATGTAAACATAATTTCACACGTACGTAAGACTAAAAATCTAATTAATCTTTCACAAATGATGAGACTAAACATTAATTTCCTAGTTTTTATACACCTAATCTATTCAATTAATTGCACCCCTAGTTTCTTTGGTCGACTGATTTAGTCTGTTGGTGGTGGGTCCGTACGGTAGTGGTGGTGGAGCTCCGGCGTGTCTCGTCGGTGCAAATTGCCCGAAAATTAATTCAGAAAAGTTTCAACGGATTTCGACATCGACCAACGGTGGTGGTAGGAGCTGAACAGTGGCAGCCGATGGCAGCAAGGCCAAGGAAGGTGGTAGGGGGCAGGGGTATAATTGACCGACCAAATTAAACACGTATAATTAGTCCTGATTATAGAATTTAAAACAATGTATTTCTATTTGTGAATTTTGGGTATGTTTTAGTCCTATTTAGGTAATTAGCTTTTAAAACTAAGGGCCCGTTTGGTATGATGTAAAGTAAACACTTTGCATGCGAAGTGTGGGGAAGTAAACATTTTACACCATTTGTTTTAATTACTTGATGTAAACTGTAGGGCACTTTTTTAAAACATTTCACACTGTACCGTGTAAAATATTTTACGTGGGGGAAGGCTAGTAAACTACTTTACACGGTTAATAGCCTGGCCGCAATAATAAAGATTTTGCTCTCGAGTCTCGTCTATAAAAAAATAATCGTGAAGAGCTCAATTGTCTTCTTAATATGCGCTCCATTGAACTGCAATTTCCATGAAGTAACTAATTGGTGTAGTTATTATCCTTCTAAGAATTGAATTTGTGGAAGTCGATTTTGAAAGAGATGACCAGACAGTTTTTGTGCTTAACTATATATATATACACACGTATATATATAAATTATTAGTGAGTGAGTTTTTTATTTGAAAAAGTAGGTTGGTGTGCTGCGATTTTGAAGCATGATTCAGCATATTTGTTCTACTTTGGTTAATAGATTTGGATGAAATGGCTTATATCAAACGTGAGGGCTGAATCAGGCTCAATAATTGAAGACTGCATCGGCCTGCACCACATCAAAGAGACGGTGTAATTTAAAAAGGAATTACACATTTACACACATAACCAAACCATGTATTTCTATTTTACATGCAAACTGTTTACAGTCCTAAACTTTACATGCAATCATTTTGCATGTGAAGTTTGAATGTGTAAACTACCAAACGGGCTCTAAGTGAAAATGTTTAAAGATGTTTGTATATGTCTACAAAGTACTCTGTTCGTTCTGCTAAAATTGTCACATGTGAAATTTGTTAATATTGAATCACATGTGCTCACTTTTTCTTGGTAGTTTTTTTTACAGATCTTTTTCCTGATAGCTGGTACCTTCTTTTGTAGTAGCGACTATCATACTACCTACGTCCCATTTATATTGGGACGGAAGAGGGTGACACGATTATTAAAAAAAACGAGTTTGTGTGGTTGATATTAATTGATAAAGTAAGAATAAGTAAGAATGATTTAGAGCCACACAAACTTTGCGAAATATGGTATGAGACAATTTAAGTGGGACTTCCCGAAAAGGTAAAACGGGACAATATAAATGGGACAGAGGGAGTAATTTGCATTTTTTATTTGGACCGGCCTTGTGTTCACTTTTGTAGAAAAATATATAGAGTACTTCGTATATGATGTCAAAACGCAGTAATGAAGTTATGATGTTTTTGGACGGAAATTTGCTGATCTGGTCTGGTATGAATTGATCTGATCTGGTTTGTCTGAATTGGTCTGGTTTTATAAATGTTTGGTCTCTATGTATTTTATAACTATGGAAGTCTGATCTGGTCTGAGACCGAAAACCGTCCAAGTAAAAACATCCTTAGTATATTAGTATATACTCCAAATTTTCTTACTGTACACTGTAAACTATTAAGATTTTCTATTTATTGATTGTTATTACGGAGTATTATATACGAAGTATTAGGTAGATTCTATGGTACCCTTAAAGTATCATACTTTTGCCCACATGAAACAATTAAAACGATGCAGTTGAATTATTTAAATATAAATTCAAAATGGTATAATGATTTGAACCAATCACCTACTCCATACGGAGTATATATTAACGCGGCTAAAATCGTAGACAGAGTAACCCAGTAACGTACGTAACAAGCTCTTATTATAATGTTGAAAAAAGAGGGTAGAATAAGTTTACGCAAAAGTTTATTAATGTTTGAAAAAAACGTTATTGGAAATTTGGAATGCCGGAATGGTAAAAACAGTTTTTCTTGGTCATCATACATACCATTGCACCTTTAGAAAAAAAAAGTACCTAAAATTTATACATTTATCATCATATTTGTGTGTATGTATACAGATGCGATTCTAATAAAAAAAATACTGTTTAAACGTTCTCATAACAAAATGACACGATTATTTAAACAATAATTAAATATACTAATTCGAGTATATTTTGAAAAATAATTTTGATGAGTATATAACATAATGGATTATTGATGATAACTGTGATGTTGTAAATATATTATTTTTAATCATTGAATGATTAAATGGCGATTTAAGAACATTTGAATGGGACCGAAGGGATATTGTTCATGTACAAAGCGTGAATGAGGGCACTTAAATGATAATTTGTACGCTACCTAATTACAATTATGTCACCTCATTTTAGATCAATTTTAATGCATTATTAACATATACTCCGTGTGTGTGTGTGTATATATATATATATATATATATATATATATATATATATATATATATATATATATATAGGGCAAAGATCAAGTACAAAGTGTGCTTATTGTGCAAATATTTGTACGATGCACCTTGACGTTATTTGCATTGCATATTGAGGTTCAAAGTATTGCACATTATAAAGTCATAAAAATAACAGTTGCACATTAAGGTGCAACGAGTTGCACCCTAAAAAGTTGGGTTTTATTACAAAAATGACACCTTGTCTTTATGTCTTTTGGATCAACTCATCGGACGGTCAAGATGAATTTGTACTTTGTAAATTAAGAAGGGTTTGTATTTGATCTCTATTCTATATATATATATATATATATATATATATATATATATATATATATATATATATATAGATTTTGGTTCAAATGAGAACGAGTCTTAACGTGAGAACGTGAGAACATATCAGAACCCTTCATTTTTATGCATCTCACGTAAGTATTGATTAAAATGATAAGGGCAATTTTGTATTATACTCTTGGGTAGTTTTTTTTGGTAACTACCATGACTTATTAACGTGGAGTTATTTTAGGAATGAAATAATTACATTCCATTATTTCTCCATGTTCAAGAGACATATCTCCATATTTAATAATGTTGTAATCTGAGTGGGTTATTCAATTTCTCCATGTTCAACGTGAGACATATCTACATTCCTTTTTGTGCACTATATTTCTAATATTCATCATATTTTTTATATTTTTAACATTATTCAATTTTTGTGCATTAGATATATTATGTATTATGCATTATACATTTTCAACTCATGCATGGAATTGTGATTTATTTTATATTCGTTTCTTGTGCATCAAATACCAACCGAAGTGTGTTGTATGCCAATGAAGAGTAAGATGATTGTTCAAGTGCATTAAATATTGATTATTGTGTATTAGATACCGATTCTTGTGTGGTATAAATTTGCTATGATTTTTTTTTACACAAAACATATGTTATGTACCGGTTCTTAGGCGTAAATACGTATTATGCATTAGATACTTATTCTTGTGTGTAATGTAATATACTAATTTAATTAAGTTGTGCGAATTTCTTATGAATTAGATATTTACTCCGTATTAGTTTTTAATTGTTGTGCATCAGATATTAGTTCTTGTGCATTACATATCTGTAGAATTTGCATAACTTTATTGTGCGTTAGATATGAGTTTTTTTGGTAACTATTATTGAGTACGAGGTCATCTCATATGCATTAGATATCAGGGATTGTGTGTTTGATACATGTTCTTGTGCATCTAGTAGTCGAAGATATTTGTTGTTCTTTATTGTATGCATCTTATACATATTTTTATTTTTAAAAAATTATATATGACATATTAGTGTCATATGAAAGAGCATGAAAAGTTATTTAATTTGGTATAATTTTTGTTAAAATCAAATTATTATTTGAGAAGTGAAATCAATAGTACAATGTCAAACAAAGTGGCATAATTGTAGGAATCCACTAAGGAAAGAAAGTGTCGGTTAGGGAAAATGCGTAAGAGGTTAAGAAATAATATTACATGACTGCCCTTTTTTATCATTTTTAATAGCCGTTTAATATTTAAGGATGTATTAGTGTGTGGTTATCCACACAATGTTGAAGTGCACCATACAAGTTTTGAGCGTTAATTTCCATAGATCAACGATTCTGATGTGTTCTCATTTCTCACATTAAGCATTGTTCTCATTAGAACCACACCCTATATATATATATGTATATATATATATATATAGGGTGCAGTTCAAGTGAGAATGGTAGCTTAGGAGAGAAATAAGAACAAATCACATCCATCCAAAACAATTGATCTACGATTGCAATTAAGTTTTAAACGGTGGCATGTATGTAATTAGTCAAAAGTTTAGATAACTAACGGGATACTTAACGTGAGCGTAATTGAAAAATCCGCAAGTTTGATTTCGTTACTAGCAATAGCCGACTTTCTCTCATTTAATTTACATATGGCTAATTTTAAATGAATATAAAAATCAATAACTACGTGTTATACATAGTGCACTTTTACTTTTAACCAACTTTAGTTACTTTTTCATAGTTGCCTCAATTGATATGCTATGTTTGTTATTAGTTTTATTTTTAATCATCAATTAATATAATGCACATAAATTCTTCGTAACATTTATTTATATATACTATGTAATGTTTTCTCCAAAGTATGCAAATATCTAATTTTGGTTGTGCACTCATATTGCAAAGTTGTGCACTTTTATTTTTAACTAAACAATTGTGCACTTACATACCAAATAAATAAACATTTTTAAACATTATTTTGTTCACTTTTGTGATTTGTATCTGCATATTTATTCATAAACAAACTATTATGCACTTTATGATATAAATGTTTTAACAATAAATGTGCATTTTCGTGAACCCTAAAGTGCATCATTTTAGACCGTTCTTATTTCTCACGATAAGGAGTGTAATCACCAGAACTGCACCTTAATTATAATGTTTTTGTTTTTTTTTTCAAAAAAGAATGCACATTAACGTGACAACACTTCTTAACGTAAGAAATGGGAATGCTCCAAAATTATGCACTTTATCGTTCACGAAAATGCACATTATAGTTAAAGTAATGCAAATCAAATGTGCACATTTACGTTTAAACTTTTGCACAGTTGAAATGCACATTTTCTATTTTTATATGCACATTTCTGTTATGCATGATGCATAGTACACAAATCCAACCAACCCTCCAGAATAATTCCCATTTTACTCCTAAGATGTTATTCTCATACGATCCTTACTCTGACAATATATATGTGATCTAGTTTAGTTCATTAAAAAAACTTTATATTTTCAATCTTTATATGAAAATGAATAATAGACAACTTAAGTAGTGCACTCATATCAATACAATTATGCACTTTTATCATTAAATATGGCTACGGTAAAACTACAAATATACGGAGTGCTACATATGAAATTTTAGAAATATTATATACATTATGGTTTTATCATTTACGAGTATATGTTTACATTTATTTTTAAACTCCGATTTTGCACTATATGATATATCTATTTTCAATGATATATATGTGATCCTTAACTTCATGATCGAATTGAAAAATAATTTATGCTAAGAGGGGTCATAGTATATTTTGTCATTCAAATGAAATTGATGTGCAACTTTATTATTCTAGTGGTGTTTTTTATCACAAAGGTATGCACTTCTTATACTAACTAATTTAGAATGCCCTTGCAAACTTAAAAGTAAATAATATGCACTTTTAGGAATGTTATTGTGCATGTTTATCATTTACTTTTGCTTAACTATTCTTATACAAACTATTTTAAACTTTAATAATAATAATAATAATAATAATATAACTTTAACAATAATAACAATACTAATAATAATAATAATAAACACAATGCACCACC